ACTCGAAATCCAATACATCATTTTGGCAGGTAGTGAACTTTCATATGAAGAAGTATATCAATGTAAGCAAGTATTTCATAATGAAAAGTGGTATCAGGTGTCTACAAGAGTAAGCACACCCATCATATATATAATTATTATATTTAAAATACCTTCTTATAATTTCAGGTGTCAATGTGGCACATGCTCTTATATCAATATGGAAAAACCGGAAGAGTGTGTTTGCTGCATTGAGCTTGAGAGGGTGAGAGAGAAGAATGAGGGTCAAGCTGGGGATTGTATAACACAGCACCCAGCTTTCCAAACAGTCTGTCTGGACCCAGATATACTTGATGTAGCCTACAGCCACTACAAGCAGCATTATGGGCCGATGGACAAATCCCAAAATGAGTAAGTGAACAAATTAGTATTTACCCTCTGTCCTTTTCAACAAATAACAGTTTTATAATAAAAATGTCAAATGTGACAGTTGCTTGTTTTATGACCTGGTATTTCATTGCCTAATACATAATCACATGTTTTTATACAAATTATGCATCAACAAAATGTATCATTTAAGTATAACATTTTGATGCATTTTTATTATGATTATATTTCAGACGCCGCAGATATACAGCCTATCGTCAGTTTGTGCGCTGGATATGGGACTTCCTTGGTAAATACATCAGAGTACCGCTACCTGCATGTGTTGTCACACAAGTAAGAAAGAGATGTCCTTCACCAGAATTTACAGGTTTCCTGGATGTGGAGTCTGCTCCTTAATAAAAAGTAATAAAAGCAATAATCTCTTTATTTCACATGGGTCAAAATTAGGTCTATTATTTCAAAGTGAAATGGGATCAATCATCATCGTGTCTGGACACGGATTCTTCTGTAGTTGTTGCGTCTCATCTTCTCTGTCTGACATCCAGTAGTCTGAGTAGAGTGTCCATTACATGGCATCAAGGAAACAGTAGTATCAGGACTCACTGGGGCTTCATTTGAATGTGGCTCTGTAGGTACAGGCATTAAGATCTTTTCCAACACCTAAAATTTCAATAAACAAGGCTTTATTTTCCTACTCCACACACACATCCATGCTTACTTTTACTTTAGTTACATACTAATAGTAATAAATATAGGGGAAATAGTGCCAACAGACCCAAATAGGACCAAAAGTAAACAAAGGACCATTACTTATCGTCTTGTGGTGGCTAAATTAACATATACAATGTCGATTAAGATCTATGCCGAGTTTGAAAAGCTATGAAATTGTTTATATTGGTCTTACGTGAAAAAAAAAACGAATAGGCCTAATAATAATTCTTACTCTGGCTTTTTCCCTCTTTTCAAAAGCTCCACGAATACGCTTTTTTGGCACTGTAACACCGTCTTGACTATCTCTGGGCTTTCGGAATATGGTTGGGACGGCATCTGGTTTTAAAACCCGCTTCCTAGTCATATGGATTCCCATTTCAGACATAAACATCGGCCTACTGTCAAAACAATCTTCGTTAAAATGGACGCTGCAAATGTTGCTCCATTTCGTAGCAGACCAGTCAACACGAGTATTTTGAACATTTTTCTCCCAAATTCTTCTTAATTTTGGTTCAGTAGGGAACAGGTGAATGCTGATGTTCAAATCCTCATCCTTTTCATTGGAACAACCACCTACAACACACCTCTTAGGCATTTTTACTAAATTTTTAAATCTACTTTCCGCGTTCACAAGCGTAAGAAAGCAAGGTGGCGTTACCACAGTGACGTCACATCCGCCTTCTCCACTTTCTCTCAACTATTGATCGTGGAATTTCTCGCGGGAATATTGAAAACGACAACTACGTAGTTATTAGCTATTTATTTATCATATTTCTTGTACCTTTTGTTAAAGTTTCGCATACATGATTGATTTTACGCGAATAGTCTGTTGAATGTCGGCTTCTCTTTAAAGGCTCATTTCTCATGACCTGACCTTCGATGACCTTCATTGGATCAAAGGTCATTGACCTTGGCTATCAGCTGATACTTTAATATTTGATCTCCGACATGTACTTCCGGTTTTATAGCTGTCCGAAAAAAGCCAAATTCGGAACTTTGGACTGCTCTAGCACGTGACCTAATTAACCTAGAAGGTTAATTCTTTCGGATTTTTAATGTGCTTTTCATGCTCTTTCCAGTGATATATAACAATCGGTTTATAAAGCAAAATTTTGCGAAGCATAACTCGCAAAGAGTTAAAAATGAAACTTTGAAAACAATTACTTCATGTTTTGAGCCACTTTGTTCCCGCTTCATAGTTCAAATAAGGGAACAGTGTGGCTACCATTTTAAGTTTATTTCAATTTAAGAAAATATTTGTGGTCTGATTGCAATTTTATTAATAATTTAATATTTGTAGTCTAAATCCAATTGGTCTGGATAATCTTGCATTTTTATATTGTCTATTGAATTGACATTTAGGTCTGGAGGAAAAAGACTAGTGTTCCTAGATTATTAGAACTTCCCGTTGAAAATAAGCACATGGATGCTATAAAAACTTTTTTGTTAATATTTAGCTCGTTTTGAGAGTTCTGTTGGTTTGACAGCAGTTTGGAAGTTACATTCAGGAACTTTTTTTTCTAACCAGTTGTCTATCAAAAATATTTATTCTTCCGGGGACCTACCCGCTGATAGTCTGTTTGAGAATATGTTGAATGAAATATAGATGCAGGAGACGTTAAACAGATCGGCAGCTGAGCAGAACAGGTCTAGTTATTTCTATTACTACTATTATTTTCTATGATAAATTTAACAGTATTATTTACTTATTATTATCAATTACTTAACATTATTATCATTATTATTTACTTATCTTTACAATCATTATCATTATCATTATTATTATTATCATCATTATTATCATTATTATTATTATCATCATTATGATCATTATGAATGTTATTATTATTATCATTATTATTATTATCATCATTATTATCATTATTATTATTATCATCATTATTATCATTATTATTATTATCATCATTATTATCATTATGAATGTTATTATTATTATCATCATTATTATAATCATTATTATTATTATTATCATTATTATTATTATCATTATTATTATTATCATCATCATTATTATTATTATTATCATTATTATTATTATCATTATCATTATCATTATCATCATTATCATTATTATTATATCATC